ATATATATCTTTTTCCAGCAAAATATCTGTGCCCCCTTTTCAATGGATTGTCTTTTTATTTTTATTTTTGTTGAATGATTTTCCACATGCAAACTGTAGGTATTTTTAAAGTTCACTTGTATTTCACTTGAGTTCAATGATTATAGTTTTGTGTCCAGTTCAGTTTCTACATATTCTTTTGTTAGTGCTGGGGAAGACTTCCTGTGCATGGTATTCCATCACTTGACTCCAAGTTAGCCATATGAGAGTGGACTTAAACCTGAAGTGCTTTCTTACTGAGCAATAAAGGGCTTTCACAGCCTGTGCTTCTGGTGTGGTTGGGTGGGGTTTCTAGATTTTGTCAGTTAGATTATATTGGATGATTGTATGGATAAGACCTTTTATATTTTTGCTAATGTTTTGGTCAAATTTGTGAACATGGCATTGCTCACAGTATTATCTTACTAACTTTCTAATGGCTATAAGATGTGTAGTGATTTCTCCATTTCACACCCATTTTGAAAGTTTCCCTCTCTTCCTCTTCTCTCTAAATAATATTAGTACATATATATATATATAAAATATACCTCACTCCTGGGAATATTTTAATTTCCTGTTTCTGTTTCTTCCTGTTGCCTCTTTTTTTCTTGTTTCTTTCTAATTTATTAGATTTTGATATAGTGTGTGCATTCTGTCAGCTCCTTTAAATCTTTTTCTGGAACAAGTGGGTTATAAATTATTTTTAAAATGTTAGGTCCAAGGTGGTAGAGAAGGGTTTTTCTCAAAATTAGAGATGATTGCTAAAATTTCCTCATCAGATGAAAAGATGTGGAGAATCAATGGTTGTGTAGATCCAAGTAATGCAGGCAGTAATGTGTTCTAGGAAGGGTGTTGGACTTGATTTCTGAAGAGCTGCCAACAGTAATTACTTACATGAGTGGAGGTGTCTTGGCTGCCCCCAATCTCTGTGGCTTAATGAAATAGTTTATTTTTCACTTATGAAATTCTAAAAATGGGTTCCCATCAGTAATTGTCTTCCTGTGGTATTTCAGAATCACAGGTTTCTCTATTTTTCCCCTTGTCAAAATGCAGCTTTCAAATCCATGCTCCTTGCCACCTCGCCAGGGGGCAGGAGATAGAGTGTAACAGCGGAGGTTTTGATAGGCCAAGCCCTACAAGTAACGAATGTTCCTTCTATCTCCATTTCATTGGTCAAAATTAGTTATACAACCACATTTAAGAACATCAAAGACTGAAAAATGTAGTCTTACTGTGTCAAGTTTCACAAACTACTGAATTTAAACCAATAACTAGAATTGGTGGAAAGGAGATTTAAAAAAAAATAGATCTTCAGTTCTAAGTCTTGCTGCTTATATGTATGTCATTTTATTAAATGTCTATTTTATTTTTTAAAGATAATAGTAGATTCACTTGTGGTTATAAGAAATGAAATAGGTAAGCCCAGTATACTTTACCTTGTTTCCCCACTGCGCCAGTTTTTGTTTCTGCCAGCAGTTTATGAGTGATCTAACTGCTTCACATTTTTCACTAGCATTTGGCTGTTACATGTGTAAAAAAATTTAGGCCATTCTAATAGATATGTAGTGATACCTCATTGTAGTTTTAATTTGTATCTTCAGGGGCTGGTGTGATGGCTCAGTGGTCTAAAACACTAACTTAGAACAAGCTCAGCAAAGCACAGGGACC